GATAATGCGTGCTACAGGCGCTACCCGAACTGGGCATCTTTTTGCACTTGATCAATCTGTCTGCAATTGCCTCCTTCTCTGCTTAGCCCCTTCTATTCACTCCTTTCCTCCTACACTGCGCCCAGAATCTCTTGATCATTGAGCTCTGGCAGAGCACTATCGTCTTTTTCAATAAAGTTAATCAGCTATTTAATGGAGAGTCAGCTCGAGATTAAACTTTTTTCGAACGAGAACAACAACCCCAGCAAACAACAAGGATGGCTAAGCGCGTCTGACCTTGATACACAACCTGAACAAACAATACAAACATAAGGTAAGGAGCTATGGCAGTGGTCTCTGGGGCTATAATCCCGCTGGTTTGGGTAAAATAAAACGGGGGGATAGAAGAGGAATGAGTGGTGCTGGATATGGGTTTCACTTTTTGATCCTTTATATTTGACTTTGCTGTAGTATTTCTGGAATGGATTTTATTACTTGTAAACTTTAATAAGGGAAACGATAACCACCTCCCAGATTTCGTTAATTACCCCCCCCCCACCCCCCTATATATTATTGTAATTTACTCGATGGACGCGTTCCGATTGGTAAAATTGAATTTATCACCGGTTTAAGCATTATTTTACTATTTCATTTGCAAATGATAAAATACTAAATCTAGATAATTGATGCATGTCTATAAGTCGGCGACGTGTGATAATCTACATGTCAGATACTGCGATTACCCTGGATGGACACTGTAACAAAGGCATTCATTAATGCTACATTCGAAATTGACTTTAAGCCAGCTGCAGAGGTCTATCACGAGGTATGTGTGTAGTCGTGATACCTGTATAATTGACTAACTAGACTAACGCGTAATTTGATGATGGTAGTGACTTAACCTCCTCCCATCGGCATGCACATCGCGGCAGCTCTCTATCCCACGCATTGTTGACTGAATCTTCATTCAACAGCGCGGCCTGCTCCAGATCAAAGAGATTCGAGTCTATAGACGATGAGGGCGAGATGCCAAATAATGACCGCGCTCGTGTGGTGAGGGTGAAGCCTATCAATCAAGGTACTGTTGTTGCGGCAGCTATCGAGAAGCTCGCTGATAACCAAGCTGCTGTTGGTGATGGCTAGCGCGTTCGCTATAGCGCTAGCTCTGTGGAGAAGAGGGACGTTGCAGATGTGTGACTGCTACGCCGGCGACGAGTGGAGGTGTTACACTAAAGAAGTTCAAGTTCAGCGGCATCTCGATTAAATCTTGCAACTAGACAACGCAGAAGAGTCAATCAACTATGCAGAAACCTGCAATATTCTTTAGTAGGTTGGACAAAGGCAGTAACGACTTGTAGCCTGGGGACAACATTATTGCAACTAATGAGACACGGTGAAGCTTCGCTGAAGGAAATAAAACCACAAAAAAAAGAGCGAGCAATCTTCTAATGGAATAAGTTGCGGTTTGATATAAGCTGGTATTGTGGCTAGCAGAAGACGAAGATCATGGTGAAACGCTGGAAGAGCGAAAGAGACGAATAGTAGCAGAAGCTCAGGAGAGTGAGCGCGTTCAAAAGATTGTCGAATATATATACCCGCTAAATGCCGCTTTATGGATAATCTCGTCAATGGTGTAGCTATAAACAAGTTCATGAGCTCGTTGCACTTCATGTCAGATAAAATCTAATTTTTTAGGTACCATCAACGGCAACATTTCTCTCACAGATGACAGTAATAGGGCGCAAATAATCCAGTAATAAACTATCTTTCTTTCGCTTCACACGTTCAGCTTCCTGAATCGCATTCAAGTTTGGGTCGCTCGTGCGATCGATGTTGACCAATACACGTTGCACCAGTCCATCACTGGCAAACCTTTAGCTAATTAGCGGCATTGTTTCAGCGATGATTGAGATCAGACTTGCAAAGCGATTAAATGTAATAGCAACCCCCAAAACATATCTTTAGTCCCACGTGCGATCGCTTTCATCCGAAAAATAGTTTCGCACAATTTTCAGCTTCGTATCGCTGAGCATTAAAAAATAAGTTAGTTGACCTGAAGTAGCCACCACATCATCCACCCCGCAATAGAAAAAAAAGTTCGTTTGATGCCGCTATTGTCTCAAAAATTTCTGCCTTCAGCTCGACACTCTGACATAAACACGTACCTCGTAAAGTGCTTCAGTACATTGAAAAACGTCTACTTCGTAAGCTCCCTTGGCAACCCTTAAATCAGATTAAATGGAACTTCGTAACCAACAATTGCACTCCTTGCATAACCTTCGATCGCTAGCATCATTAAAGGCAGATTAAACCTCGTGATTGCCAAATATTCTGCAAATACAATTATCATCTCGAGTCGTTAAAGAATACACGGTGTGGATTTAAGGTAAATCAGCGTTAGCCCCAGGATGTCATTGGACTTGATCACTTCCGTAATAAGACGACAAAATCCAAATAAAGTAAAAAAAACTTGATGAAGGGCGCCATGTATTCGCTAATTACCATTTGCTCCTACTTGCGACTGATAGATTCCACGTGATTTGTCTGGGGCTATTATTTTACGGCAAGTTCGAAAGTTGTGACCTGACTCACTGCAATTGCTGCATTTACGCCTCTTGGGGGATTCAGCGCGACCTCTGCATGCTCGAAGAGCGATAGATCGCGCTCTGTGCTTCCAAAATGACGATTTAGGGCACCGACTGGCCTATCACGAATCCTAATCTGCTCAGGATCACGCAGGTCATCGGGCAGCGCCAGAACATGTTCGACGATCTCTCTTTTTTTATTCCCGGCGGCATTCGACTACTCTGTTGACAACCTATCCCATGCTGTTGGCAAGTTGACCACATTGTGTGGATGAAATATCCTGGGCGACTGCAACAGTCACCAAGGTTTGTCGAAATCATCAAGAGATAGCGATATGCGTCGAGCGGAGAAGTAATGTCGGCAAGGATATCCCATCACCGACATTAAACAAGCCTGCAAAAACGTGAAATGAATATGAGCTGTACATTATGTAATTTGCTGTGAAATCTTTTATACGTACCTTGGCATCCAATGACGGCTCCATTGTCATCGACATTATTGTGAAATCGATTTTTGTATTGGCGAAAGGCTGCGCGCAGGCCAGCTTCCGAGATCTTTCCCATGACGTCGGTAAATATTCTACCAAATCGCATGTCAAACGTCGCTCGCTCTTTTGCGTGCTGTTGCTTGATACGAGCCAGCTGTCCATCGCAAGCTCGCTTTATAGCATTGTTGACAGACAGTAGATCGCCAGTCGAGGATCCAATCTAGCGCTTCAGGGCAGCATGCGCACTTTCCACGCGAGACGTGGTGACATGTCCATAATGCTGCTTGTTACGGAGAAAACAGGTCACAAATTTCTCTTTCCAACTCAGCCAAGTTTCTTCGAAATATCGAACGACCTGCGGGTGCGATAATTCCCAGCTTTCGCGCATACTTTTCCACTTATCCACTTTGAAGGTCTTAATTCGATTTTGTGACACCAAGATGTTCCAGTTTTTAAAAAAGGCCTCCCAATCATCGATAGTGGTGAAGAACTTCTTGTGTTTGGCCAAAATGTTTTCGATATATGCCAGCGACAAAGCAACCCGTTCACATCCGGGAAGACTATGTCAATCGCGCCCATCAAGTCCAGCTCTCGGTCTGTTATAAACGTCTTAGGAATGATACCCATCTCGCAAAATTCCTGTTGTAGCTTTTGTATCGCCCAGACGTAGTTTGACTCTCGTATTGCTTGCATAAAGCAGTATGCCAGAGTAAAGGTATAGTCAATGCAGGTAACTCCGACGATATGGAGCAAGGGTAACCCATACCTGTTATTCTTGTACGTAGAGTCTATAAGCCATACTACCCCGGCAGTATATCTATAACAAATCTCCTTGGCCGATGGAGAAACAACAAAAAGGTGTGACAGTTTCTGTCCATCTTCTTCGCGTGCAGTATAATATTTTACGCCTCAAGTAACAAGTCCATCAAGCAGTGACTGTAGAGGTGTTCTACCTTGTAGCTTCAGAGCGCGATCATTGTTACGGACGTTGTAAATATCTTGGGCGGTGACATTTATGCTGCTTTCATTGCGGAGAGAAGCGACAATAGTACCAGGTTTGACACCAGCACTAGTCAATAAGAGAACTCACTCGCGAGCCTCTTCGTTCAACGCGAGACCATTTGGATGTGCAGAAGATTCATCAAATGCATCGTGATTGTGGTTCTTTCTAATGACTGTAACGTGCCAGCGCTCATATATGCGTTGAATGACACCTTCAAAACGGCACCCTGTGCTTCTACTAGCCCTTAAGCGCTTATTCGTTCTCGTTTCTGGTACTTCGTTAACAGCAACTGGCTTATTTTTATTTCCCTGTATATAATGGAAGAATACGTTTAATTGCACCATCTTTCCTATTACCCACCTTCTTGGTACGCTCGGTCGTTAGGACATAGCCTTGAGCTATTGCATGTTCATTAAGTGCCTTTCGGGCTTCCTCTAGCGTATCGTATGTAGTTTCAGGAGGTGGTAGCAGAGCCACATGAGAATGACAGACTACGGTGTTTAAGTGCTAAAACCAATTATTCAACAATTGAAAAATATAGCGTGTAAGCGATTACATGATAAAAATATTGTGTTGGAATTGGCTTTCAGTATTTAGCAATATGACATTTTATTTATAATCAATCAAAAAATATGGAGGGTATATATATTACGGTAATATATAGGGGGTGGGGGTGGTTAACGAAAACCTGGGGGTGGTTAGCGTTTCCTTTCAAAACAATCTTATTTGATCGCTGCAATTTAATTGGTATTATTTCCTGCGTACAATGCCACCATATTTCGATAACTAACAGCCTCCCCCAATCTCCAGAAAATGTGACTGGGGAAGCTGAGTGTACGTAAGGAAGAGCTGAATCAGATTAGAAGTCTACCATTGTCATTAATCATTTTTACGTCAGCGTGATATTTTGTCGAGATGCATATTTAAGGCTGACAACAAACGCGTCTAGACGCAAGCGGTCTGGTCCTTGTTGTAACTAAAAGCGCACTTCTTCGTCACGTACTCAAGATAGCCCTCGTTGAAAAACGTAGTAGGTCTAAAGATGGACCAACCTTCCTTCTTATTCAGCTCCAGCTCGTGAAGCGTTTGATTCCGAGTCTGGTGTTGCACATAAAAACACCAGGCGTAATCCGCGGCGTACCAAAGCATGCGATGATTTGGTTTACCACCGGACTCGCTGAAAAAGTCTAGGGATCTTTCGGAGCTGTCATCGTTCTCGCTGACACGCGTCATACCAGGATGGTCGTCATAGCTGGCCACCGCGTCGTCGCCTTTGCCATCCGATGCATCTGCCGGCGAACCAGTTTCAGGCGTCCGCACATGATCGCGTCGTTTCGTGGTGTTCACGTTGGTATCAACGACAGCGTCGCCGGCCATTGCAGGCGAGGTCTCGTGAGACGCCATGAGGTTCTCAAATGCTGAAGATGCTTTGACGACATTACCACAAGCGGGAAGGCAAAACTATGCCGCGGACAGGATGATCAATGGACGCATCGGATGACGAGAAAAGGCTGTCACCAGAAG